AAAAAATATTTGCCAACTGCATATCTGACAGAGGCCTAACATCCAGGATCTTCAAGAAACTCAAATGAATAACAAGGAAAAAATAAACAGCCCTATAAAAAATGGGCAAAAGACATGAGTAGACGTTTCTCAGAAGAGGTCCTACAAACAGCCAATAGATACATGAAAAAAATGCTCAACCTCACTAATCATCACATAAACGCAAATCAAAACCACACTGAGATACCACCTAACACCAATAAAGACGACCATAATCAATAAATCAAAAAACAACTGATGCTGGCATGGGTGCAGAAAAAAGGAAACCCTTCTACACTGTTGGTGGAAGTGCAAACTAGTAAAACCTCTATGGAAAACAGTGTGGTGATTTACTATAAATTGACCTCCATATGACCCAGTAATCCCCCTCCTAGGAATATACCCAGAGGAATGCAAATTGTTCTACAAAAAAGACGCTTGTACATGTATGCTCCTTGTCACAATATTCTCAATTGCAAAAACATGGAACCAAACTTGCTGCTCACTGAAGGTGGACTGGATACAGAAAACATGGCAGTGGAGTATTACATAACCATACAGAAGAACAAAATTATGGACTTTGCAGCAATTTGAGTGGATTTTGAGTCCATTATGCTCTGTGATCTGTCACAGAAACAAAGAACTAAGTACCACAAGTCCTCACTTATAACTGGGTCCTGAACATTTATCACAATACTAGAAGAAAGGGGTCAGCAGTAGCAGGACACTGCCAGGCGAGGGGTGGGGTGTAATCTCACTAAGGGTACTGGATCTTAAACTAGGTGACGTGAGGTACAGATAGAGGCCCAAACTTCACCTGCTTGTAAACCACGCATGTACCTAATCCTGACTTGTACCCTACATCTGTATAATAAAGTAAAAAAAACCCAAATTTTTTAATTGATAAATATAAAAACACAGCATATTGAAAAAAAATCTGTAGACTCTTGATAGACCAGTAGTTAGGGAGAAACTAATAGCACTAAACAGCCCCATTAAAAAGTGAGCAAGAGACTTGAATAGACACTTCTCAAAAGAAAATATATGGGCAGTCAACAAACACATGAAAAAGTGCTCAGCCTGAATAATTATTAGGGAAATGCAAATCAAAACCACACTGCGATATCACCCAACCCCAATAAGAATGATCATCATTAGTAAAACAAACAATAGATGCTGGTGAGGATGCCAAGAAAAAGAATTGCTTCTTCACTTCTGGTGGGAATGCAAACTAGTACAACCTCTATGGAAAACAGTGTGGTGATTTCTGAAAGAACTAGAAATTGACCTTTCATGTGACCCAGCATTCCCCCTATTGGGAATGTATCCGGAGGAGCTTAAATCATTCTACAAAAAGATACCTGCATACACATGTTTATTGCAGCACTATTCACAACAGCAAAAACATGGAACAAATTGTGCTGCCCATCAAAACTGGATTGTTAAAAAAATTTGGCACACATACACAATGGAATGTTATGCAGTCACAAAGAAGGACAAACATATGAACTTAGCAGCATCTTGGATGGATTTATACTCTATCATACTCAGTGATCTACCAGAGAAACAAAAAACTGAGTACCACATGTTCTCACTCATAAGCGGACCTTGAACAATTACCATAATACTATAAGAAAGGGATTGGCAGTAGTGGGATACTGCCAGGGGAGAGGGGGAACACCTCATCAACAAGGGAACCTGCATAATGAACATTTGTATACCTAACCCTGAACCGTATCCCACATCTTTATAATAAAAAATTAAGAAAAGAAAACAACAAAGGTCTCAAATTAATGACTTCCACCTAAAGATACAATGCTTATTAAACAGAAAATAAGCATATAGCAAAGGTCAGAACAGATATCAATAAGATGGAAAAAACAGCAAACAGCAGAGAAATTAATTAAAACTAAGAATGAGCAGAAAATCAATAACAGAAAATTAGTAACAAAGCATAAAAAGAAAAAGACAATAAAGCTACTCTAGCCAGACTGATAAGGAGAAAAGAAGCAACAAATTACCAGTATCAGTAAGGAGAGAGTGACATCACCATAGGGTATAGATACTCAAAGGATAATAAGGAATATTATAAAAAAACTTTGTCAATAAATTCCACAATTCAGCTGATATTTAAAAAATTACTAAAATATACAATCTATCAAAATCTTTCAAAGTAATGCCTTAAATCAACATATATATGAAGAAAATTGAATTTATAGTTAAATGCCTTTGCACAAAAAAAACCCTAGGCCCAAATGGTTTCACTGATAAATTCTATAAAAGATATAAGAAATAAATAATACCAATACTAAACAAATTCTTCAAGCAATCTAAAAAGGGAATCCATAACCATTTATAATGTTAGGTCAGCATTACCCTGATACCAAAATTTGAAGACATTACAGGAAAAGAAAACTATATATTAATATCTTTAGTACAAAATTCTAAACAAAATTTTTGCAAATGTAATCAAACAATATATAAAAATGATAATACTATGTGACCAAGTGAATTGGTTTAATGACTCAGGATTTAACATTCAAAGATCAATTTATAGACGGGCTCTGTGGTTCAGCCTGTAATCCCAGCACTTTGGGAGGCCAAGGCGGGTTTTGGGTTGCCCGAGTCTGAGGGTTCCAGATGTGCCCGGGCAACATGGTGAGATCTTGTCTCTACAATAAATTATTAAAAAATAGCCGGGCGTGGCAGTGCACCCCTGTAGCTCTGGCTACTTGGAAGACTGAGGCAGAAGGATTATCAGAGCCCAGCAGGTGGAGGCTGCAGTGGCCAGGAGTGTGCCACTGCACTCCAGTCTGGAAATGGAGTGAGACTCCAACTCAAAAAAAAAAAAAAAAAAAGATCAATTTATATTATTAATGCTCAATGAATCACAAAAGAAATCCCATATTTGAATTCAACAAAACCACAGAAGGAAATATTTAACAAAACCTCGCATTGATTCCTGATAAAAATTTTCAGCAAACTAGAAACAGAATTTTCTCAACCCGATAAACAGCATCTTTAAAAAACCAACAGCTAACCTCGTAATTAAAAACATAAGTTACGACAAAACGATTATGAAATACCCAGAAACGAATCTTTTGAAAGATATGTAATAGCTGTACACTGAAAACTAAGTACCAATAAAGAGAAAGTAAGGAAACCTAAATAAATGAAGACATATCTGGTTCATGAGTCAGAAGACTCAATATTGTTAAGAAGTCAATTGTGCCCAAACTGATCTATAGAGTCAACACAAACTCAATCAAAATCTCAGCAAACTTTTCTGGTAGAAATTGACATGCATATGCTAAAATGTATAGGAAAATGCAAAGGGATTAGATTAACCAAAACAACTATAATTAAAGAAGAAATGTGTAAGGCCAGCATTACTGATTCAAAGAATTATTAAAGACAAATAATCAAGAAAGTATAACAAAGTAGGTCAAAGGATAGAAGAGAGTCTAAAAAGAGATCCACAAAATGATTGTGACAAAAATGTTAAGAACAAAATATAAAGTATAATATATTAAGTCATAATTTGGAGTGAAAATACATATAATGTTAACTCTGAAAGCATAAGACAAAAATATTAAGAAACACACAAATGAATTAAAAAACTCTTACATTAAGACAAAATTCAAATAAGACAATTTTAGAATAGCTCAATTGAAAATGTCAGTGTTCAACTGACTCTGCCATGAGCATGGCTCAGGCAGCCTTGGTGTTACCAGGCCCAAATCACTGGCCTTGTCTAATTAGCTCTCCTTTCAGACCTTATTTTGAGCAATTTCACTAGTTCTCACTAAAATTGACCAAGATTCCTTGAGTAGTAATTGACAACAGACCAAAAAAAGAAGAACCTAGGACATTCTATTGCCCACGGAAAACAAAAACAAGATGCTTTAAGAGATGTAAGGGGAAAAAAGGACTACCTGGAGAAATCTCCCACTGAAAAAATGCATATTGGAAAATAATAATTACAGTAAATTGGAATAAGCAGAGTCTATCATATGAGCCGTGAGTCACTGACAATACTAAAAGGTAACAGAACAAACACAGAATGAAAAATAGCATATATACTTTGATTATCAATATTTTTACAAAATTGCTATATAACAGTATATGTCAACACAAATCAAATTTATTTATATATTTATTTATTTTGTGATATCCTCTCCCCATTATATTAGTTGACAACTTTTATATTGTAGCTGTGAAGACAGTTTAGTGGGAACAAATTATTTAGAGCTGAAATGACTTCAAGAAATATGAAGTTTTACATTCACACAGGTTTGTCAACAATAACCTACTTATATTGTATTTAGAATTTTAGATCAACATTTATCGTCATGGTAAGTTGTTAATGGTATTTTTTAACATAAAGAGATGGTCTACACAACAGCCTGTAAGGTATAAGAACATAGATTTAATTATATTTTGGAATACATAAATATTCATGAAGGCATGTGTGGGTGTGTACATGGATGGGTATGAATGTGAACTGAAAGTTAGCAGGATATTAATGTCTACAGGTGAAATTTTCTCCTTTTCTTTATACTGATTTACATTCTAAATCACAAAATATCATGTATTATTACAGTTAAAAACAGAAAACAGTTAAGCTTAAACAATAACTGATGGGGAAAACATTGAGAACTTTTACCAACATGCCTGGTTCAAAAAACTTAATCAGTTATTTAATTTTTTATAAAATGTGTAAGTAGAGTTTATGGTGTAAAATAAAGCCAAAAGTAGTAATATTACACTGTAAGGCAGAACTTTTCATATTATAGTCAAAATATATTATAATATAGTCAAAATGTAGTACAAATGTTCATAATTTTCAGTTTTGTGTCATGCATATCATTTGGGGTAACCACTCCATAGACATCTCACACAGTGATTTTTGCTTTAAGAGATGTAAACTAACAAAAATTTCTTTTCAAGCAGCCCAAGCTAGAGGTTAAAGCTCACGCTACCTTCTTGTCATTCTCTTCTCTGTTTTCACGTCGTTGTTCTGTTTTCTGTTTTCTTTTAACATCTTCTCCAATCCTTGTCAGAAGTAACATCTCTTTTGTCTTCCATTCCTAGAAAGCACAATGTTATTTTAATTGGTGTGTTTTCCCTTCACAATAATATCTCTGTATTTCTCCCCATCAACAAGAAAACAAGTCAGGGCCTACCAGAAATCAGGTCAAGCAAAATGAGAGTCGTACATAAGGTTTGGAATGAGCTTTGCTAATAGTACTCCTATTAGCAATGAAGATATGACTACTTTTTACTAAAGCTAAATTAAAAAAAAAAACTCTCTCCATAGGGTTGTCAGGGAGTTATACAGTGTCAAGTAACTTTCCTAAACTGCTCTTTAAGAGCATAAATTGACATATATCTATATATTTATTTATATTATAGCTGAGAAGGAAGTTTAGTGTGAACAAATTATTTAGAGTTGAAATGACTTCAAGAAATATGAAGTACAGTTAAAAGAATTTACAAATAAAATAACCGTACACAGTATTACTTCAGTATTTTAATGTTGTTATCTCACCTCTTCAATTTTTCTACGAAGAATAAGTTTTCTTTTCATATTTTCCCGCTGCTGTCTTTCTTCTCTGTCCCTCAGCATTTGGCGTTGCTCTTCTGCTTTGCGCTCAAGTTGTTCTAGTTCCTTACTTATCATATCCAAATATCTGAGTAAGACAGCAAATATTACTGAAAGTGAACTGGCTATTTCCTTGATGATATCATCTGCTGTGATATTTCCAAACAACCTCCTGGATTGTCTTTCATCTTCTAAACTACAGGAATTACACAGTTTTTTGAAATCAGTCATTTTCATAAGCCTTTAATATTAAATGATTAATCGCATTTTACACAGTGAGCATTCATAACTGCGTAGGTTTAAGAACATAAGTTTGCAAAGAAGGCTGAAATAACTGAACAGTAACTTCAAGTGTGGGAAAAGAAAACTGTACATTTGAATTTTCTAAGAAAAGAGTTTGTTCTGGGTTACTTGTAAGTTCCTATAGTCTGCATCTCTGGTCCCAATCAACATGTATAATGACAATACCATGAAATGAAACCATAGAATATAAAGTTCAATTCTTCTCCTCACCCCTAGTGAAGAAAAAAGAGGTACAACATCTCTTCATTTCCTAAGAAACAGTCTTGACCATGAAATGGCAGCAATTAAATGTGACTGTAATATCAGATTCCATCGTTTTTTAGAGACAGCACATGTTTATACTGGCATTAGATGAAGTTATATTGAAACTCCCTTTTTTGACTTTGTACTAATTTCCTCAAACTTAGTGTTGTCAGTCCTTAAATATTAATCATAAACAGCAGTTATTGTTTGAGACATGTACTAAAAATGCTTTCTCTCCTACCATAGAAATAATTTTGGCTCTGGTTTTTCCCTCAGTTATCACCTTGGCTTATGTCTTGGGCTCTCAGCAACCCTGACTTCTCTGGTAGAAACTTCCCTGCATAGCTTTGGAACCAGGGCTACCAACTACTGTACCTTTTGGTCTCTCTTCTTTCTTCTCTACTGTGAAGACTACGGAGAAATTAAGTATGAAAGTGACAAAAAAAAATCTATCCTCAACTCTTTTTAGTATTTTTCTAACATATTTGAGTCCACAGTACATACACAAAATATGCATCAACGTTAAACTTACCTGTGCCTTATTAATCGCTCCTGCTCCTTAATAGATTGAGTGCCCTCCTTGAACAACCACTTTTGTAAATGTGCAACATCAGAATGTACAGGGATTTGATTATTTTCCTGTAGTTTATGTATCTGTTTTGCAAGCATCTCCTGTTTAAGAAATGTGTGTATTATAGCATTATGCATATGTTATATTTTTAATGTATACATGCTTATTTTCCAGAAATAAAAATAAAACATTTTAATTTCTGTTTTATAAATGAATAATTCTGCTTAATTGCATTTATTTATTTATTTGGTTTGGAGTCTCATTCTGTCTCCCAGGCTGGAGTGCAGTGGCACGTTCACGGCCACCGCAGCTTTGGCTTTGTCGATCCTTCTGCCTCAGCCTTCTAAGTAACTGGAACTACAGGCACAAACCACTATGCCTGGTTAATTTTTGTGAGTTATTGTAGAGACAACATCTCACCAAGTTGCCCAGGCTGATCTCGAACCCCCAGGCTCAGGCAATCCTTTCACCCCATTCTCCTAAAGTGCTCGGATTACAGGTTGAGCCACAGTACCTGTCCTGTTTAATTGTATTTAAATGCATTTTGACTTTATTAGAGACAAAGTCATTGAATCAAAATAAATATTTATTTCCCTGAAAATAAAAGATAAACATTTCATTTGATTTGTCTACCCATTCTGAAGAAATTAAATATAAATATTCATGAAGTAGAGGAGGAATTCTAGGCACCAAAAGGATAAGTGGGAAAAAATATAAAAGACTTAAAGTAGAGGGAAGTCTTTTTCATTTTTATCAAATCCTCTTACTTTAGAAGATAAAAAAAAGACACACATATAAACAATTTTCTCATTTTTATCCAATGCCTTGACCTTATATCTCTCTCTCTCTCTCTCTCTCTCTCTCTCTCTCTCACACACACACACACACACGCCTCTCACTATTTTGAATTGAAATGGAAAAAAAGTCATTGTCTAGAACCACTCATTCTACACCCAATCATTCAACCTCTAAAAACAATATTTTTACTAGATGAATACAGGATCATGCATGCAGGTTAAAACACAGGGTGTACATGATCTTTGAGTCATTCATCACACTAAAGCTATTCATTCTGTTCTCTTATTGTTCAAACAATTTGGGATTCCAGCTTAAGAATCTCGTGGCCACAAGAGATATTTCTTATTGGCCCCAGCTCAAATACAAACAACACATCTGATTAGCAATTTTATTACTGAATTATGCCAGCTGCCACTGTTGTATTGAAAGATGACTTAGACCTTTTCTTCCTCTTGGCAAGATATAGCAACCCCAATATTGTTTATTCCTACTCTAAATTTTCATTTGGAAAAACATAGTTAATTACTTTTTCAATAATTAAAGTCCTAAATATCATTTTTAAAATGCTCTATATAATAACAAACTTTTCTTCTAAACTCTATGTGAATAAACCAAATGTGTTTAACTTACTTGTTCTCTTATATAGTGTCTCTCGAAGTCTAATTTTAAGCTGGTAAGATATTGTCTGTATTTATTCAATTCCCTCAAGGTACATACTATCTAAAAACAAAAATATATAAATATTTTAAATATATAAATAATAAAAAATTGTAGCACTCACTTTCCAGAGAAAAAAATATTAATGGCATACAATTTGATGACATTTTGGAGTCAAGAGCAATATAATGTTAGCATTTTAAGTAATATTTCTCTGCATTTGTTAATTAACAGGCAATTTCTATCCAAAAATATTACTTTATTTATATGACATATGATTTAATAAAGAAGTTAGTGTACACAATTAATTGCAGTTAGTAAAATTTCAAATAATTGTAATTGAATCATAATAATACATATCATAATGTTGTTCAACCCCAGAAAGAATGTATCCCACCAGGATTTTAATGAACTAAATTTTACTTGGCTTTTATTTCATCTCAAATTTTTAAAAACTATATGCAACGTAATCCTTGACAAGTGAACAGTACCATTAGAGATAGACAGAAGACTATGATACAGTAGGGAAAATTGATATATCTTTACATTTTCAAATTATCTGTCAATAATTTATATTAGGAAAAAAAGCAAAGGAAGAAAAGGTTTCATTTAGAAACAACTGTTGTCTGATTTCTTGTGACCTAAATACTGAGTAATTCATGGAAATTTATGTAATTACCCATTTAGTATCATCTTAGGTGCAAGGGAAAAGTGATACAGGCCCCAGTGAGGTACAGAAGCAAGTTTACAAGGAAGTACACCCCAAAATGGAATTTATTTATTAAAAAATTGTGTGTATTTTCATGTTGCAACTTCAGTCACTTTGAAAGTACTCTCCTGTTTGATAGTATACATCTATTGAGACACTTTTTCCACTGCTCAAAACAGGTTTTGAACTCATCAATTTTGATGCCTTTAGGGCTTCTGCCATTTTTTGTCTTCTACTTCCACATCATCAAAACGTTTTCCTTTTAAGACTTTTTTCATTGGGAAAACAAAACAAAAAAGTCGTTGAGGGTGAGATCACGTAAGTAGGAAGGGTAGGGCCTGAGGGTCATGCCGTATTGGGTCAAAAACTGCTGAACACACAGCTTGATGTGGGTGGGTGCATTGTCACAAAGAAAGAAGCAGTCACCAGTTTGCCACAACTTGGGACGTTTCTTCTGCAAATCATAACATCATAAGGCAACCTTCTTAAAACTTTCAGATAAAACCGGTGGAGGCCAGGTGCAGTGATTCAAGCCTATAATCCCAGCCGAGGCAAGAGGATTGCGTGTGCTCAGGGCTTTAAGACTAGCCTGGGCAACTTGATGAGAACTCTTCTCTACAATAAATCAAAAAATAAGGCTGGTGTGGTAGTATGTGCTTGTAGTTCCAGCTACTTGGAAGGCTGAGGTGGAAGGATTGCCTGAGCACTGCAAGCCGAGGCTGCGGTGGCCATGAGCATGCCACTGAACTCCAGCCTTGGTGACAGTGAGGCTCCAAATCAAAAAAAAAAAAAATTAAAAAATATTCCGGTGGGTTCATAAAACATTTAACTAGCAAGGAGTCTGTACTACAAGCAACCCACCTTCCAAAAGATAATTCCAGTTCTTTTTCTTTTTTATTTGTTCCCCTCTTGTATATCAAGTTTGAAGGTCTTGATTTTAAAAAAAGAAGTAAACTTTAACCCACCTTATTATTGCTGGTGATGTAGCCACCTTTCTTTAATATTCTCAGGATATCTTTGCGTTTATGGTATGCTTTTAAGTGTGGATCATGAAGACTTTTGTATTCATTTTCCATAAGGTGGCAGTAAGGATCAGTCAGATTAAAACAATAAGACGGTCTAAAAAGCTGCAAATACAGATTCAAAAACATTACAGATGTAAAATTAATGCACTTTCACTTTATAATAATCTATTTAAATACCCACAATGTTCACTGAAAATAAAACATGCAAGAATCTGAAGTAAGGAAAAATCAGCAACAGAAAGATTTGAGGGCCGGGCTCGGTGGCTCAGCCTGTAATCCCAGCGCTTTGGGAGGCCGAGGTGAGTGGATTGCCCGAGCCCACAGATTTGAGACAGGCTTGGGCAAGCGAGACCTCATTTTTACAATAAATCAAAAAAATTAGCCGGGCGTGGTAGCGGCATGCTTGTAGTTCCAGCTACTTGGAAGGCTGAGGTGGAAGGATCGCCGGAACCCAGCGGGGTAGAGGCTGTGGTGGCCACCGCACTCTAGTCTGGGTGACAGAGTCAGACTCCAACAGAAAGAGAGAGAGAGAGAGAGAGAGAGAGAGAGAGAGAGAGAGAGAGAGAAGGAAAGAAAGGATTTGGGTTGGGCAAGCTTACTTGCCTTTCCCTTTCTCTTATTCTCACCTGCATAAATTTTCTAGACTCACCCTCATTCTATTAGTTCCTCTTCTAATTCCCATTAGCCCAGGGCTCTGAGCCAAATAAGAAAAAAGAGGAAAAGAAATGGAATAGAATGAAATTTAAGGTATAAAGTTAATGCTAGGATTCTTTTTTCTTCTTCCCTCTCTCAGTTCAAGGCACAATATTCAATATATAAAGAGATCATATAAATTATGATTATTTCATTTCAGTCATGTTAAAATGAAGAAAAATAATTGAAAATCTTTCTCCATGTCATCTGCTTTCATTAACATTTTTTAAGTTTAAGAAATAGTAGAAGCCAAACTTAGATGTTAAAGGTTTTGAGTTAGAGTCACTGTATCTTGTGGTTTTTAGTGCAAGAAATCCCAAAATCTCTGAGTGTAACAGAGGAAGATTCAAAGTGTAACACATTGAAGAACCTCTTTTATGGTATATTTATAGGAATTGATGTTTCTCCATATTGTAAAGGCCAAATATATTTGTATACAACAGCTATGAGCATATAAAAGGAGGAAAGGACAATCAGCTAATAGTCATGTTACTTTATGGGAAGCAACTGAGTCATTTTATTTCATTTATCAATTAAAACATTACCAAAGTAGGGTTTTTATAATTCAAGTTCTCACTTATTTTTTCAATAGCAGGATGTAGGGACCATTGAAAAGGAAAAAATGGAGGATGGAAGTAGGTGTGGAAGTTGTGTTAATGTTGTCTTTGCATTCTATCTTTCTGTTTTAAATCTGCTTGGCCAGAACAACATGAGCTTTAGTCCAAAGTAATGTCAAATCAGGAACTGGCTCAGATGAAAGACGATTGAAATACATAGATAAAAACAGCAAACTAGGGAGCATCTGACCTGTTTGCAGGTATACAATTCCATTTACATTACCATAACAACACTGTACACCAATCCAGACATGCCTGTAGCGATTTGCATCCTCTGTGTTCAGTTCAGCTCTAGTCACAACTGCAGCTCCATTCTAAACACTATGGAGCCTGGCAGGGGGTGACCCTATAAAGAACTCCCCTATCTGGTAAGAAGATGCTTTGCATTTGGGCAAAAGGATAGATGGGAGGAACATGATCGGATATTAGTTCTCTTTTATCGTTTAAAAGCATATGTGTTAAGTTTCTGACCTCTTGTTTAACATTAAACTTCAACCTCTTCCTAGGGGACTAATTATAAAGCTAGATTCCCTGATGAACACTTCTTCTCTAAGAAGGCAAAGAAAAGAATCCTATAAAATAAGGTGTTAAATTCAGTGTGACCAGACAGAAAGTCCAGATCTTTCCTGGAAGAGAAACAATCAATAATAAGCCAAAGAGTAGACTGATCATCTTTTTTAGATGTTGACATCTAGCTGTCAACTTTTTTGGATTACTCTGAGCTGTAACAGGCATGTTTCTCAAGACCAAACCTGGACTACTGACCTATAAAGGGAGAACACCATTAAAAGAATGGATTAATTAGAGCCAGAGTACCCTTCTATTGTCAATGAAGATAACTACTTTCTCTTCAAATAAATAAACATGTATATGTCTAAAACATTATATTACCTCATCAAGGAGATTACACTGAGAGAGATAAAGAATCTCACAAAGTCAGTCTTCAGAAAAATTAGTCTGGTGCTTAATTATAATTAAATGAATACATTTGGCTAAAATTAATGTAGTAAAGAATATAGAGAACATCTTTTTAAAAAAGTAGTAGACAAGTGAATTAATGGCCAACAGAGAAAATTGCATAGGAAACAAAATATACTTGAGGAAGGAGACAGAAGACATTGCTAAGTTTATACATTACAGGGGAATTTTATCATTAGTAATAGAAGAGATTTCAAGCATGTTTTTGCAAAACTAGTTCGTGTGGGTGTGACTCAAATTGTGTAAGGTTTATATATTTTTAGTTAGTTTTCTCTAGTTGTCTAGTAATGAAGAATAATTTTTAAAAAGGGTAATTATATATTTTTTTCAGAAACAAAACTTACTTTAAAAAATCATGTTTATCCGATGGGCTAGACTGAATGTATCCCTCCAAAATTCATATGTTGTAATCTTGACCTCCAGTGTGATGACATTAGGAGGTGAGATCTTAGGAGGTAATTAAGTCATGAGGGCAGAGCCTTCATGAAGGAAACTAATAACCCTATAAAAGAGTCCACAGAGACCCCCTAGTCTTCTTTTCACGATACTAGGATGCAATGAGAAGACCAGGGAGGGCCCTTGCCAGAACCTGACCATGCTAGCACCCTAATCTCCAACTTCTAGCCTCCAGAAGAGTGATAAATAAATTTCTGTTGTTTTTAAGTCCCATAGTCGATGGTACTTCATTATAATAGTCTTAACTAAGACATTCGGCAAGTATCAAATACCAAGGGATCCCACTTACTTCTGATGATATCACAGAGAGTGGAAGGGTAAGCCAGTCACTTAGAATTCTCTCTCAGATCACTTTTTGCAATATTGATCAAAGAAATCACTCGAGAATGTACTAAACCTCCTTAGTGCTGGCTGATTACTTAGTCAAGGGCTGGAGGTATTGGGGATAGGGTAGCACTGAGGACTAAAAACATGAAAAGGTTTGAGGGCAGTACATACTAAAACCCAGTGTGATTAAGTGTTGAGGGAGATGATAGAAACCAAGGGCAATGTGAATCTTAAGCAACGATATGCTAATTGGGGGCTGTAAAAGCTTAGAAAGAATCCTGAAGGATGACTCAGATTCACAGATGGGTGAGAAGAAGCTAGGATACACCAGGGACAAGGTGGACTACAAGGGCAGACATATTAGCACGGTATGCACGGGTAGTGTGAAAGACATCAACTTTAAGAAGCTGAGGCTGTAGTTGAAGAAAATACTAAATAAAGAAGCTGGGCAAATTAACTCATTTTAACTATACTTTTAAAAAAAATTTTACTTTGTGAAATAAAATTCAGCTCAAATTTCTAAGTAAACAAAATCATAGAAAAGTGTCTTGGAAGACAGTTTAGTCTGAGTTATTACTAGTTAAAATCACAACACAGCATTAAGTGGCAGCCGGCACTAATCATCTTTCACCTTTCAAAAATTGTTTCTAAGTAAATAAAAGCTCACAAAATAGGTATATATGTTTTCTTCTCAAATATGTTAATATGCATCTGTAAATTTCAAATTAAGAAAGGACTAAAAATCGAAACTTTCTGCCCCATGAGTCTGTCCAAATCATATTAGATGAAATACTTCATATGCATTTGTAAAACAATACCTTCAATTAGATGTGGTTTGAACCCATCCCTCGGCCCCCACCCCCGTGAATGTGTCCATTCTCTTAATGAACTTTGAATTGTGTAGCCTCTGAATTTAACAGATAGCAAAGAGTAAAGAAAAGAATGGAAAACAATAAAAATGATTTTACCTTTTCACCTATGCTCGTAGTAAAATACAGAGTATTGCTTCCTGGGATCATAGGCAGCTTGACCCCAAGAGGCAAGTCCAGCAGCCGATCCGGTCCGACCTCTGCAAAGTGGGTTTTGTGTGCGCCCTGCCAGACACAATCGGAGAGTTCGTCTTTCTTCTAGGTAGTGTTTCCTTTCGTTTAGGTCAATCCACTTCCATTCCAACCAAAGAAACGGACGACTCGCACAACCAGACTGGAAGAGGCCCGCCCTGCCTGACACCCCTGAAGTCCTCCCGCTTCCCGGGGCGCCGCTGGAGCCACCGCGCCCGAATCGCCGTCCCGGGCCACGAGGGCGCCAGGCG